TATTTTCTATATTAAAAAATTCCGGTTTCATATTTACATATCTGGTATGTGTTTCGCGGATTTCCTCCGTGTCCAGGGTACCTATCATGAAATATGTCGGAATGAATTCCGATCGGAAAATTATTCCATTTTCCCTAGAAAACACAATAGAAATCTAGGGAATAATTGAATATTTCCGATCGAAATCGATTCCGACTTGTTCTATGATAGGTACCCTGATCCATTCTTGAAATGCCATATTCTTGAAGGCATTTCAGAAATGGATCTGGACACGGAGGAAATCCGCGAAACGCATAATCTTTATATTCGATATATCTTTTTTTATTAATATTGATAAAATATATTTGTATATATTTTTATATACTTTTTAAAGCTACTCTTCGACAAATAATATATATACTTTTAAACTATTTTTTTATTTTTTATCCAGCAATTGTTTCAATCTTAAAATATATATTTCACTCTGATGAATAAACCGTATTTTTTATTAGATATTTTTTAATCATTTTCACTTTCTTCAGCCTCTCTATTTTCTTTTTCAGCCTCATTATTTTTTTCAGTTTCTTCAACTTGACCTTTTCTTTCTCTAGTTCTCCTCTGTTTTGCAAAACGTAGCCATTCTGCTGTTATATTTTCAAAATCAGTTTCTGTGACATATCGTGAAGTTACTTCTTCTGAAATAGATAGTAATCAAATTAATATTAATAGTTAATTTGTAAAAATATATAACTTAAAAAAAAAATGAAAGCATTTGTCGCCTGTTTGATCACTCTAAAGCAATCAATGTGACATCACATACATAAACTCGCTAATCAAAAATTTGGAATATATAGGGGAGACCGAGGCCGATTGTCACAGTTTTTGATTATTGATTTTTAGAAAAAAGTGGATGCCTGATTTTGAAATATTATATACGTTACAATATATTTACATACTTCAAAAATTAAAAAAAAATATTACTCGTGAATTCATCATATCATAAAAATAAGTTACTTAATTTTAAATGAAGCTGCGAAAATACGACAATTAACCCCGTATTCTGGATTGATTGTCATACGTTCTAGGATTGGCAGTAGCATATTTGTTATGGACACATATAAAAAACACAATTTTTTTTAATATCAGTTCTATATTTTGAGAAATAATATAGTAATTATAGTACTAATACAAATAAAATAGTTATTTTAATCATAAAATACGTAATTTGTTTTTGTACCACAGTTTCTATATGAAAAATGAAAAAACATATATCTATATGAAATATAATATATTTGTAAGTATATTCTCTGAAAATGTGTCCTCTAAAGATATTAAAATTAATTGTCACCTAACTTCGTCTCATTTTGGTCAATCTACCCCACATAGCTATTTTTAATAAAAGAGATTGTATTCACAAACTTAGTCAGAATGATGATTACTTAATTGTAGCAAAGATCTTCTAAGATATATCATTTTCTATGAATACAAGGATGTTACGATTAATAATGCCAAAGACTTGTTAGACAACAAAATAGGTGATTATAAAAATTTACTTACCAATTTCATTTTCTCAAAAATTGCTATAAATAATAATGTATACAATGCTTATGGTGTAAACCATTTTACACAACAAATTAATATTATATCAGCTATCTACAGTCAAAAAAAGAGATTTTTCTGCCGTGTCTTGTTTGAGTTATAAGCATTTTGACAATCAACCCCATACGACAACCAGCCCCGGTCTCTCTTATTATGTTGCGTCATTAATCAATTTCATTTAAATCGATTCAATTCACTACAGTCGAAAATGCCATTAAATTCGTTAGGATTAAATGACACACTCTTCATAATTTCGATGAAATGTAAATTAGATATTCGAAAATTGTTCCGAATTCCCTTCCACGAGCAATACATAGCACATTCATTTGTAAATATCTTTTAAAGATTCTTTTGAATGCTATCATTCGGATTATTTCCTCCAGTTTTCCAAAGTAATTCTTTCTACGAAAACATACATTTTTTAATTATAATTATTCGCTTTACCATAAAATAATTAATATTTAAAAAATATACTGGGTATTAGTTAAGTATGTTGCCATACTCAACAGAGCGATTCTTTGGTTTATTTAAAGTAAAAAAAACTCCATATAAACATGTGTCTGTTATTATCTTTTGAAAAAAAAATAATTGTTGAATTACATATTCATATTTCCTCATTTTTTTAAATAAACGTTTCTATGTAATCTTGTATTAGAATTCATTCAAGTCGTTGCCAATTCTTGCTACAAAGAAGTCAAAGTATTGCTGCAAAAAAATATGAACAATATTAAAAGAAGTATTTTGTATGATTGATTACATACCTTCTGATTCTGCATATCGCGCGCCATAAATTTTTTGATTCGAAAACGTATTATATGAGCAGAATAATAATATCGCTTTTATTAAATTGTATAAGATTTGAGCATTAAGATCCGCTTCTTAAAAAGAAAAACCCCCAAAATCTCTTAACACATTTTACTTTTTAAAATTTTCAACTTATTTCACCTAATTTGTTAAATCTATCCCTTACCTTTAAGGGGAAGTTTTCACCCTTCAGAGTGGACCAGCTCAGATAAAAAAAAAATACGTGTTAAATACTTTTCAAAGTTCTACAAATATGCAATGTTTCATTAAAATCGGTTAGTGACACCTCCGTAGGTTTACTTGTCTAAAATTCACGGACACAAAGCTTAAGGGGAAGTTTTCACCCTTCAGAGTGGACCAGCTCAGATAAAAAAAAATACGTGTTAAATACTTTTCAAAGTTCTACAAATATGCAATGTTTCATTAAAATCGAGGGGAAGTTTTCACCCTTCAGAGTGGACCAGCTCAGATAAAAAAAAAATACGTGTTAAATACTTTTCAAAGTTCTACAAATATGCAATGTTTCATTAAAATCGGTTAGTGACACCTCCGTAGGTTTACTTGTCTAAAATTCTGATTGGATGAACTAAAAGAATACACCTATTGGTACAGTGAGCGCTCACTCAACTGTTGAGTCCGCTGAATACGCCCAATGAGAACTCTTAACATCATCACGTGCGAAAAAGTAGAGCTTTCATTGGATATGTCGCTCGTCCATTGCGCATCGTGTCGTCCTAAAACTTTGTAAAATAATATGATCTACTGCGAAGATGGTGTCATGGAATGGAAGCGACATCTACATCAAACTAATTCAGATGATCATTTTTGACCACGCTTTTTGATGGCTTCGTCCATATAGTATAAGTTCGGTCTCCTGTTCTCTATCCTCCATCACCTCCATGGCAAGCATTAAAGGGCTTCACACATGAAACGCATAACAGAGCATAAACATAACATAAGGCCGCTAAACCAATGAGCATCTTATGTAAATCAATATGGCGACATTATGCTAGATGCTCTTTGGTCCAGCAGTCTTATGTTATGCTTATGCTCTATTATGCATTTCATGTGTGAAGCCCTTAAGGTTTGTCAAGGTTTTACCGCCTGGCCTGGTTTTCCGGCACACTTAACCACGGTTAGGTTACGTATTGTTTGTTTCATCGGTTCTGTAATCGGGTGGTTTTCTATCAATGAATAAAAAAACTATCGTTCCTTCGGTAATCCGTTTTGACGTCCAA